TTAACATTCAGAGACCATACTGATGCATTGTGTTTCATTCAATGTATTCCTTCAATTTTTTATGTGGTCTTAAAAAGCCTTACATTTACCTACATAAAGCCTGCAGATTTGTTTGATTTTAATGATTTCTGTTTCAGCACTTGCAAGGATGGGAAACTCAGTTGCATTGGACAGAGAATTAGCCAACAATGTGAGTACTCCCACAAATTAGTGTACTTATTAAAAAACGTCATGGGTTACGCATGTAACCATAGTTCCCCAAGAGGGAACGAGAAACTGCGTAACCTAGGGGATACTTTGGGGAATGCCATCAGCATGACTGTTGTCTGAAGATCTGTGAAAAAACTTTTCAAATTTGTTGGCCTGTGACTTCATTAGCGGGGTGCGCTGGAGTATAAGAGGGTGCCTGTGTCAACTTCTTTGTATGAAGGAGATGTTAAAAAGGCAGGTCCTATGCGTGACAAGGGGATGCAGTGTCTCGTTCCCTCTTGGCATAACCTGAGACGTTCCCCTTCAAGGGAACTCCACACTGAGTTCCATAGGGGACACTTTGAGGAACGAAATACCCACTACGCCATGCCTCGGTGCATGCCTGACAAAACCTGGTGAGAGAGAACCAAATAATGGCAAACTCAGGAGAGAGTCAGTCGCCTCTCTGCAGGGGCGTGTCTAGATCATTTTAAATGGGGGGGCCAGTCGGGGACACTAGCTCAAAAGGGCAGGGGCGGTTGTGTTTGCGGAAGGATAGAGGGGGTGGGGGGGGAGTTGGGGGTTGTGTTTACGGAACGATGTATGTTAAAAGCACATGTCCAGTTTTGTGTGAGTGAAGGAAATCCGCTTGGGAGTGGAGAGATTCGTCCTTGCGCACATGGATCGCGTAACATTATGCGCTCTCGACATTGTCATTAAGATCACACTATAGAAACCGCCTAAAATTAGAAATGTACTAAAAATAAGCCTATGGCAAGAAATAGGGGGGGCACCTGGGGTGGCCAGCCAAATTTCAGGGGGGCCGGTGCCACCCCTGGCCACTACGTAGACACGCCCCTGCCTCTCTGAGGTCTCCCCTCCTCTTCTTAGCATCGCGCTTCCTCTGTGCTCGACTCCGGGAAGGGGGAGGAGAACAAGTGGCAAAACTAAGCTTCTGGTCCTGTCTCCGATCCTCAGAGGCTTGAGGAGAGGATCTGTGAGGAGAGGCTTGAGGAGAGGATCTCACATCCTGTGAGAATAGGGACAGGCGAGAGCGGAGCTTCCTCATCAGAAATTTATCACAATGAGTGCATTTAATGCCCTCAAGCACTGAACGCGCGTGCTCCTCGCCGAGACACATAACGCAAAGGTCATGTGTCTCCTCAGGTTTCATAAATCTCGGACATGGAGCCAGATATTTCCTAAAATGCTTGCTCGACTTCTTATGCTCCATAGTGCTTCACACACGCTGAACAAACAAATGGCTCCTGAAGACAAAAAAGATGATGACGTGCATTACCGGCGCCCTCTTAAACTCTCGGGCACCCTGCTAAGGACGTCACGGACTGCGTGGTCCAATGAATTTGGAAGTGTTTTCTCACATGCTTCAGACACCAGTCATGCTGATGGCATTCCCCAAAGAGTCCCCCAGGGGACGCAGTGTGGATTTCCCTTGAAGGGAAACTATTTTGCATTTCATGAAGTTAATTTAGCACAAACACTGATTGGAGCTGGCCAAAACGAACTGATACCGAGATTAATAGTCAAAATAATAGAATTGTCATCATCTGCTCACCCTCATTTTGCTTCATACCTGTATGATGTCCTCGTGAAACATAAAAGGAGTTACATAAAATGTCCAGTCGGCTGTGGTAGTAACCATTTAAAATAGTCCGTACGATTTCAGTGATATATTCATGCACCATTTATGGCTTTATGTGAGGAACATTTTATCCAGTTAAATTAGTTCCTTTGCTTTTCTTGATATCACTAATAAATGTCTTGTCTATGCCATCAGCTTGTCCCCAACCTACGGTGTTCTTTGACTGCACTAGTGCTGCTCCTGAATCTACAGGATCAGAGTGCCAAAAGAGCTGCAGCACGTTAGATATGACTTGTGTGAGTGTTTAAAATTGGTTTCTAAACACTATCCTAAGGCAAATAGTTAGAAAAACGTTGCACAAGATATATTTTCATTTGAATATAATGCAACTTTCCAAAACAGATTAGCACTGAGTGCATCTCCGGCTGTATGTGTCCGTCTGGGCTGGTATCAGATGGTAGGGG